AGACACACCCCGGCCCCCCTGGAGTGAGTATGAGCCAAAAAACCCCAAAACACCCCAAAATTACCCCAAAACCCACCCAGACACACCCCGGCCCCCCTGGAGTGAGTATGAGCCAAAAAACCCCAAAACACCCCAAAATTACCCCAAAACCCACCCAGACACACCCCGGCCCCTTTGGAGTGAGTATGACCCAAAAAACACCAAAATTACCCCAAAATTACCCAAAAACCCACCCAGACACCCCCCGGCCCCCCTGGAGTGAGTATGACCCAAAAAACACCAAAATTACCCCAAAATTACCCCAAAACCCACCCAGACACACCCCGGCCCCCCTGGAGTGAGTATGACCCAAAAAAACCCAAAATTACCCCAAAATTACCCGAAAACACAGCCAGGGACCTCCAAAATCCACCCCAACCTCCCTGGAGTGAGTACAGACCCAAAACACCCCAAAATTACCCCAAAACCCACCCAGGGACCCTAAAACCCCACCCCAAAACCTTCCCAAAAGCCCCAAACACCCCAAAACTCCCCAAAACCCCCCAAACCTTCCCAAAACCCCCCAAACCCACCACTGAACCCCCCCAAAAAGCCCAAAATCCCCCAAACCACCCAAGCCCCCCTCCCGTGCCCCCCCCCAGCTCCCCGCGGGATTTTTGGGGGATTTTGGGGGATTTTGGGAGGATTTTGGGAGGATTTTGGGGAGGATTTCGGGAGGATTTTGGGCAGGACTTTGGGGCGAGTTTTGGGGGGATTTTCGGGAGGATTTCGGGAGGATTTTGGGGGGGATTTCAGGAGGATTTCGGGAGGATTTTGGGGAGGATTTGGGGGGATTTCAGGAGGATTTGGGGGGAGTTTTGGGGGGATTTTGGGGAGGATTTCGGGAGGATTTTGGGGGCTTTTGGGGTCTCCCCGCTGACCCTCGCCCCTCTCCCCCCACAGTTACCGGGACCCCTCCGAAAATGGGGGGGGGTCCCTGAAGGAGCCGCTGCCCCTGGATGGTGAGGGGGGGTCCTGGGGGGTTTTTGAGGTTTTTTGGGGTTTTGGGGTGGTCTGAGGGTGATTTTCGATTGTTTTTGGGGTGGTTTTGGAGTTGGTTTTGGGGCTGTTTTTGGGGTGATTTTGGGGGGTTTTTGGGGTGGTTTAGGAGTTGGTTTTGGGGCTGTTTTTGGGGTGCTTTTGGGCTGGTTTGGGGTGGTTTTGGGGCTGGTTTTGGGCCTGGTTTTGGGGTTGTTTTTGGGCTGGTTTGGGGTGGTTTTGGGCTGGTTTTGGGGCTGTTTTTGGGGTGATTTTGGGGGGTTTTTGGGAGTGGTTTTGGGGGTGGTTTTGAGGCTGTTTTTGGGGTGCTTTTGGGCTGGTTTTGGGGTGGTTTTGGAGCTGGTTTTGGGGCTGTTTTTGGGCCTGGTTTTGGGGTTGTTTTTGGGCTGGTTTGGGGTGGTTTTGGGCTGGTTTTGGGCTGGTTTTGGGGTGTTTTC